CACTGTGAGCCTAGGCCTGAGCATGCCCAGCCTTCGTATTATATTCCGGAGCTTCGTAACCAGTGTCGCTTGGCCCTTTCATTTACAAAAAATCCCTCTTCCGTATTCGCTCTCAGAATGAGAGGCGATGACACTCGGGAACTAACCCGACTAGCAGCAAATGCCAACAGAAACCACTCACTGCCAAAGCTGTCGATGGTTCCCTCTTTCACAGGTTGCTTACAAGCAAACTAATGGCGAGTTTCACTCCTCGGCATATGCCAGGACCAATCTTACCATCCAAACGAGTCATAGAGGGATTGGTTAAAAATATAAATTTTCCCAATCGATCGGAACTCGGCTCCAACCAACACTTTACCAGTAATTTAGCTTCCATTAATAAGAACAGAACAAACGCAGCAAACGAAATGAAAAAGTTAGCTACGAAAACAGCGTTCCAAAAAAAAAGAAAGAAAGACACCTCGGGGATTAATGAGATCGACGAATGAGCCGCTGAGCTCGGCCAAGAGAACAACAGTGAGGTTGCTCGGACGCATCGCACCTCTTTTATACACCGAACAGACGAAGAACACAACGGACAATGAAAGTACACGCATATAACACTGTGTATGGATGCCTGTCAATGAATGTGGGAATTGAAGCATGTGGTCATCATGTGGTCATCTTTGCTTCTTTTTTAATGATCAGCCCGCTGGCCACGCCCACCGCTGACCACAACTATTTCGTTACTCGGTGACAAGAGTAGCCGAATATTTTTCTGTGTTCATTGAATATCCATGACTGTTGGGGCGATTAGTTTCAGTGACCCCTGTTAGTGTTGTAACTAAAGTGCTCCTAGTTACCCCTGTCCCTTCGATCATTGCTGCAGTTAGTACCAACCATCTGTTCTATATATGCGCGCCAACTCTTCGGAGGGTCGTCCGAGTGGTTGTTTACTTTCTCGTGGGCACTAGTGTGCGCTGTTGGGTGGATGTCCGCAAAGCGAGCAGCGTGTCCGGCCCATCGGAGTTTACTTTCTCGCGTGGATGCAATGATATCCTGAACGCCGCTCATCTTACGTAGAGCCTGACTGTGTATAGTGTCAATGGTTACAAAAAAAAATCTGAAGAATGCCGGGTCTGTGAAATCAGCACAGGGCATTTCTGGTGAATGGTTGAGGAAGCCATCTGTTTCGCGTGCTTAGCCTTGTCCTGTTCCTTCCGACAGTCTTTGTTGGTTTGGTTTCCTGAAAACGCATTTCGTTGCTTCTTATTCGTACAGCGATTGATGTCTAGTATATTTCAGCAGCGTTACAGAATTGTGCTTTAAGCATATTTGATTGGATCATTTGTGGAATCCACAGGCATTCTTGGAATGCATCCGATTGCTGGTGCGATGAAGACGCAGACGGCCAGACCGGCATTCCGCAAGCCAAGTTTGCTTTCTTTTTTGGCTTTTTTTGGGAGCCTTGTACTTTAATTTTAGTTAGTATACGTTTATGAAAGATTGTAAGGAAATAAAAAAGGGGAATGTGAATAAGTTAAGATTAAAATATGAATGAGAATGCTTCGGTCCATCAAGTCGCATACATTCCTTTTCAGTGCTGCAATTGGACCTCGCACATTTCATTTCGTTTATTTATACACCAAACAGAATATATACCAACTTTCATGTGTTTTTTTCAATATAGAAAAGCAAGAGAAAATAGAGGAGACAAAAGGCGATGCAAAATTTAAGAACTAAAATGCAACACTTTTGAGGAAATAGGCACAACAACTTATTGCAACAGCGTGTCGCGAAATTACTACACTAATTTATAATGCATAGTCCGGTCAGTGTTTACAGCTAAGGGATGAAACACAGGCAGCATCGTAAAATGTCTTTTTGTACATAACACCTAAGTCGAATCTTTCTACTCTACGATTTATTACACGTTTTTTGCAGCAATACAACGCGAAAAACGCATATTGACGAGAGGATGTCTGTGTGTGTGTTTGTGCATCTGTGTGTGTCTGTGTATGCGCAGGGTCTCGGCACCGATTTTTCATCTCGAGACCGGCAAAAGCTACAGGGCTGAAACTTTGGGGAATTAATCTACATGCACGTACGGGCCTCCATCTCCAAAGTGGCGGCCAGTCATAATTTGTTTAGCTAGAAGGATTTGCCAAAAAACCGATGCTGGTAGCGACAAAAACCTGCGGGGAACTCTGCAAAAAACGCATCTTCGCGCGGGCAGCCCGTGCGTT